GCTAGGTTTGAATGTTTGGATTTTCAAGTGGGTGGGCGGAGACCAAGTTTCATTTGATTGACAGGGTTTTGACGCGGTATATCCCTGGGTTCAAGAATGTGGTCGCCAGGAGTATACGTAACATAAACCATGGTGTAACTTAGCGGAGCAAGTTTCATCATACAATCTAGTAACAACATTACATTCTGTTAAAAAATAATGATATAGCATTCTATGATGTAATTCATGAACGCAACATTATCTAATTCCAGGAAGTCTGAAATCTCTAATTTCTTGTTGCAACTGTAGGCAAAGGTCGTTGGTCACTGGGTACACACAATGACAAGTATTGTCTGCTGTGGGCAAGTAATATTTTGTTACTTGCATTTGGTGACCCCCTCGACCTAGGATACCATTTTCTCCCCATGGATTTAAGAATCCCCCAAAGGACCAGGCACTTACCATTATTCTAGACATTCGTAAACAAGTTTTAATGCCGACTTTCAAAGAATTGTATTGTACCCAAAAGGCCAAACATTTGTCCTAGGCTTTTGTGATCGCTATCTTGGGTATAAGTAGCTTTTACAATTGCCTGCATCGAACGCCAAAACAGCAGCTCTAACTGAAAACTCGGCTGGGAGTCGCAATTATTGGTAACTAGACCATGGATCATTTCTTCCTTAAGAATGTAATTTTACGGATTCAAGACTATTATACCATTATATCTGGTATTGCACTTGGAGCGTGATATTTGGCTATACATTACGTAATCTATCATATGTGCATTAAACTTTAATAACTGTGGAGCCATTTGGTTTCCCCCGTTGGGAAAAGCTAGCGCTCTTACACAGCAGTCGTTTGACGTTGAACAGAGTAGAACAGAAGGCCCCGACCCGGGATACATACATTCATATGAGAGCATTCCTGGGTCTCCAAAGTCACCATTAAAGCTATGGTGAACCGTTCTTTCACTTCCTTCTTACCTCTGGATATGGAGGTATTGTTTTGGGTGGGGTTGTCTGTGGGTTTGTGTGTATGTTTTCTGCACCAGAGACAGTTGCAGGGTGAGTGGGTTGATATTTGTTTACAGTCGATTGACAGGGAGGTCAAGCTTGAAGATGACCCAGCACGCGCCGGTTGGAAGTAGTCGGGCGGTACGTGGAGGAATTCAGGAAGTGGTGGACTGTATATAATAATACCCTATTATATTACGTTAGACAATCCCAAACACAGTTCCTATGCATTCACAAAAACACTTCCAGGTCTAAAATCTCCGATTTCTTGTTTCATGTACTTAGTACCGTGGTATGTATATTAAAAGGACACCAAATGAGATGTGCACCTATTCTAAACCAGCTTTAATTAGACCGCATATGCAGATTTTAATGTATACGCACTAAGCATTTGTCAACATTTGAAAATTGCAAAAAAAAGCGCAAACTTAGAACTCATTTACAGTTAACGTAGAAAACAAAACACCGCATGCATTTAAATTGATGTATAAGGCAGACTGGAAGCCGACAGTCTAAACCAGGTATCGGCTCTTTGACATTCTGTCTACTTCTCCCAAGACCCACGCCGATGCTAACGTACCGCGAAAGGCGAGGCAGTCTGCGCGCCAGAGATACGAGAAGCACCGCAACCTTCTGACCTTTCTTTCAGCAGAAGACGCCGAATGATCCAAGAAAATGCACTCCCAGCAAGAGCTTATCACACCAGACTTACCCTTACAGGTCGCAGACATAACCCAGCAGTATGTACAAGGAAAGATCTTAGCAGGGCAGTTTTTTTGTGTTGTTTCAGATTACCTAATAAAAGCTTCTCACAAGTGGATCTTTTGAGAGCAGCTGGCGTGGTACAATGTAGTAAAATGCATTTCTAAACAGAGTTGTCTATGAGCTTGAGTTAATGGCCTCTGCTTGCTACAGAGTTTTTTAAAGAGCAAAATCCATATCTTTGCGTTCGACCAACATCTACAATGATCCTCTCATAGCTCTGGTGCTTTTGACATTGAGATCAATCAGCCATTCTTCAAGGTCCGACTCAGAATGCCGGGAACTAATGCTCTGCATACAAGGTGGGAGATCGGAACTTTTCAACACGTGCAGTTCACGTGCGGTTCACGTGCCAAGAGACCAACCTGGCGTACTAGTACGTTTCTATTGCCTTTTGTTGCATATTATATAGAAGACTATGAACGTCGTATACACACACATAAAGTCTACAACACAGCCTATATTTTACTGAAATAGAGTACATTGCAGAAGAACGATATGTTCACATGCGCCAGCTGTAACGTTCCCCACAAATAACAGGTCGTTAACTTTACGTTCCACCAAGCTCATCTTTTCTCCCGATGAGATAAATCTACCAGGGGTTTCTTAACAAGCACTTCTCATGTTTCTCATTCCTGTTATTACATGACCAAAAGCCTCACACAAAAGAGTCTTACTGCCAGTTTCTATTCGGATATTACTGCTTGTTCTTGGCTTAACGGGCATGACATATCATTGGATTTTTATCTTGACGTTGGTAGTACAATCATTTGGCCCAAACGTAAGAGCGACAAGTTGTCGGTCCAACAACAAAGCAAGTCTCAAACTTTAACGATTACATCGGTCACCATAAACGTAGGAGAATATCTGTCTTCCTGACAACTTCCCGAGGGAAAATTATGTCGAGCTGTCAGTTGATGAGATAGTCTTACAACCTAAGGTCTCTCTTGACGACTTGGATATTTACAGAAAGGGCAATTACAAAGTATTGCCTCTGGGAGCTTCCAACTGAATCACGTACGAAGCAACTATGTTATTAAGAGCTAACCAAACATGGTCTTGGGATAAGGTAGTTTGTCAGAACATGGCGTCTGACGCTGAACCTTTACTATTATATGGAAGGGCGGTCATACGTCGTACGTTGTCGTGTACGATTTTGATGTCGTAGAATTATCACGGGCTGTGACAGAACCAAAACCAAGAACCAACTACCGATAAGAATCTAAGACAACCTTTTCTGCAACAAGACAACCAAATTTTGCAAGACACATTCACGACTATCACAAGAATGCATTCAGTTTGCAATACGACAAAATACGACGTATGTGACCCAAACATTAGCAATTATAAAGAAAATCTTTATGTGTCACTTTGCCTCACTTATTATGTATATCTAGTCTAATTTAGAATGTTTATCCCTCTCAGGTCAACACCGATCCCAGTATCTTGCTCTCTTATTTAATTTCTATGCTTTTAAGCCACCACACCCTTCGTTCTACAAAACCTAATTAAAACCCACCCGCTCGGGGATACAGATAGGAGTTGAGATCACACCGCTATCGTTCGCCAATGATTTTGTTACATTCCAGTTATGATAAGCATCGTCTGAGAGGGACGCCAAATTACGCCAATGTACGACTGACTCACTACTTCAATATATCCGCATTAGTGGCGAGTCAACGTAAATGGCCAATATCCGGGCTATTAAAAATGCACAGATCGTGACCTTCAGTATGAAATAGTTTGACCTTGACGTTGTATATATATATGACTATTTGTATGGATCGCACGCACGCAAACTTCGTTCCTGTATGAAATATTGCCTCAGTTCCACTTGAAATAAGTTTTCTACTTGAAATATGCTTTGATACAAGTGATAAGAAATGTACTTCCTTTGAAATCTAGACATTGTTAGTGCTTTATTGTGCTTTTAGTGACAAGCTAGTATGAGTATTCCTTTATAGTCTGAATTATTTGGGGTGGCTGAGATGTTGTCCTAACAGTGTAGGTTGACAGCACTTGGGCGGGGGAAGGTTGACAGGCAGAATGACAGAAGATCAAAAGCTCACACAAAATGAGGGTCACTTGAAGGTCGCGAAAACCCTAAAAAAAAATGAAGTCTGAAATGTCCTATTTCTTGTAAAAGGGACTTTTCCAAATACTTCGTCCATTTTGCGTGACATTATAGGCAACATGTGACTGCATATAGCTTTGACCTTCGGATATCTATACAATCATGTACTTTAGAGAATGTACATGTCTTTCGATGCGCACTTTATACCAAAGAAGCTATCTAACAATTGAGACTTCATGCGAAACTTTCACCACAGGCAAAAGCAGATCGTCGACGTTCCTTGAACCTTAGCGGGCCGTTACAATGTCAAGGGCTGTAAATATTTGATAGCCGCACTGAGCACTAATGGTAGAAGATGACAGCCAAACGCTAAGTGCCTTCGGGTAAGTGGAGTTATTAGATAGCCTTGGCCTTGTAGACGACAGTTAAATCCTTTTTTAAGCATCAGGCTAACGGTATCAATAGCCTGCAGTCGGATTTTCATGGGTAGACTGGATTTTAATCAAGTTACTCAAAAGACAGGCGATCCATTGTCTGATAGGTTGCGCTCGAGTCTCTCCAAAAGAAACTAAATCTGATTAGTAGCATGCTGCCCTGTGATTGGCTGAACGCAGGTTCTGATGTCAGATAAACAAAGAGAGAGAAACTTTATGGTGACATCATTCATTCATTATCGGTGACTTACTTGTGCAGATAAGGACATGCACACTCAATTGAAGCTCAGGTAAAGTGCTTCAATTCAAAGTTAGCCCGTCCCAAATGGCCCAATTGCTCAATAAAACCACTCCAAATGGAGTCATTTTGAACTCAAGGCGTACAGACGAAAAGTACTAACGTTAGTTACGTGGTTGTCTTGGTAGAAGTTTGCAATCTAAGAGTGCTGTTTGAAAGACTGATAAGTACGGTACTTTATGTAGGCGATTTTATGATATACACGAAAGTCACTCACATGTGGATGTCGTCTTGGAGCATTGGCCAAATTCAAGAAGTGCAGAACATGGTAACTTTCATTTGGAATCTCAGTGAAATTGAAATTAGTAGTTTGCATATCAAGGAGTTAACTTGCTGCACGTGCGTGGCTAGTAAATAGCTTTGCTCTGCATCCAATGGTATGATGACTCAGACTTGCACAAACATACATGTACTAATTCTGTCACTCATCTTCATAACAGTAACGTTAATATCGTTCTTTTTCTTATAATTGCATTTATTCACTCAGGGGTTCAAAATTCAACAGTTCCATACGATGGTGAACATTCATTCTTTTCAAACATGAATTTATAGAACGTTATACAACTTGTTCCTGTCGGACTTTAGAGGAGCGGTGCTGTTCTAGGGTCCCGTCAAATATCCTGGGAGTGTTACATGGTCTCCGACCGGAAAGACAGCGTACACCTGAGGAAAAAAGAAGGGATAGAAATTGTGTACAGCTACTAGTATATTAAACCCTCATATATACTGCAATGGTTCTGTCCACATAGCGATGCCCCACGATTCAGATATCAGATAACGAAGGCGTTACTGAAAGAGCCCCCTTTCGGGCTACCAAAGTAGTGCATGCAAAGCAAGTTCATATGTTGCGTCGGCTGACGCAGACGACTTTTCAAGACAAATAAGCAACCTCGCCGACCAACTCCCTACCACAGATTACCTTACTCACGACTTACTCCCAACCCCGGTCTAAACAACGTCGGAAGGCGAAATTACGAATGATTTTAATCGTGATATCTCTACCTGTATTTTAAATATGTTATTATGTCACTACCTGTTATATTAATGTTTACCAGTTCAATTCAGTGCGAGTTACTACTTACACTGCGAGACTGTAAATGTTTGTTGTGAAGCAACAATAATAATAAACCAATCTATAAGGCCAGCTGCAGCTATGTGTGACAAGGCTTTGTTCATTGTATTAGCGGTTTTGCAATTGTGTATACTTACAATACATTACTAGTATATTTTCATCAGTATATTTTGATCGACCTTATTACAATAGATGTGTTTCCCCCAAATTGTATCATTTTACGAACCTTAAGGGCTCCACGCGAAGTTGCTCCATGAAGAAATCGCTCAGGACCTTAGCCCACGTGACCTTGTTCTCCGTGGTCATCAGACTGGCAGGTCTGCGCAGGTCACAGTACACGTACCTCTCATTCGTACCGTTACGGAGCATGCGCTTGTTCACCAGGACTTCTACACTTACGACCTGTACATGTGAGGGTATACAGTGATGATTAGGCCGGCCTTCTTTTTCCCCCAAAAGTGTTGTCATCTGTCTTACCCTTATGACTAGAAAATCGTTGGAATAGCATTTGAGAAATTTAAGATGAAGGACTATTGTCATGAAACAGTAGGTAGCTAGCCCTGAACAACACACGCCCTCTTTATTTCTCGAGTTCATATCAGACGGAAGTGTTAACAAACAGGCTGCAATGTTTCGTACAAAAGCTAGGAGGTGCTGCCGGACAGTGAGCCGCTTGTTAGCCGTCACGCGTTATATGTTCGCCCATCTGTATCTTTATGTACATGTAGTTTAGCGCTTCTCAGGTAGAGTTGTAGTGTAGGCTGTCTCATGTAAACTACATGTACTGCACGTTGCCCACATGCGTATGGGCATGAATGTGCAAATGAACATCATTGTCATATTATGTGAGTTCATTTGATACATATAGACTGGCGAATCATGGTTATCGGAGGAAAACATCGTTCATTTATCCGGACACAGTAGTGGTAGTGGTTTAGTCACCTGGTCTAATTTCCGATTCAAATCACGTTGTTGGTGTCCTTGCCTCCCATACTCCAACAATGTGTTGGCATCCTTCTGTCTCGAGAGACAATGGAGTTCACGCCACGGACACCAACAATAGAACCAATAAAATGTACGACAGTTTTACAGGTCTCACACTCACCTCTTCCTCTACCTTAAACAGGTCGGACATGAGCTTGGAAAGTTTGCCGTCGAACTCTTCTTCGACGTCGAAATTGGTCCGGACAAGTGCGTACGGCATGGTGAGACGTCCTTGACGCTGTAGCCGTTGAACGTGACTAAAATACAGGGAGGCTGGCCTGCTGTTGAGGGAACTGAGGACAGAGGTTCACGGGTACAAAGTCCAGTTCATGTTGGTTAAGTGTCGACTCGTGACTGTTATAGTAAACACAGACGACCTGCAGCTGGGTCACCGTGATGTCTTATGTATTGTTTTGATGGTGATTATTGATTGTAAACCGATTGTAAACCCTGCATCAATTCAGCCGAATAAACGCTGCGATTGCACGGGTACTGTTTGACCAATAAACCATTTATTATTATAAAGAAATAAAAAAAATTTAAAAGACTCTCCCCTTCAACACACGCATAAGTATGATCAAGTATTGAACAGCTATTTTTCTTAGAAGCAATGTGATGGAGATTTTCGGCTCCAGTACAATAATAACCATTCACTCGTCGCCATGGTAGTTTTTATTGCCTTCCTTGTTGTGTACTGTGTGTAAAAGATGTTGATGTTGCAGCAGTCGGACGACACTGACTCTACAGGCCGTACCACTCTGCTGGAGGGGTCCACTGTGTCACCAGCTTCCCCTCAATCGCCTCACAGTCCGCAGTGGTCGGTTCAAACATCACGATACATCTGAAACAACAAGAAAACGATACTACGGTGGCCTGTCTTGTTCATGTAGACATGATTTTACATTTGAACTCTAATATACGTCAAACCTGACGAAACTCTAACCAAACTTGGACTTTTTCATGTGAGAACGTATCGCTTTATTGTAAGTCAACAACAGTTTTGTGCCCCTTTATCAGTTGGTTAATCAGTAGGTTATTAAGTTGAGAATTCAAACTTTGTATCATCATATTTATTATACACAATTTGCCGCAATTCCAAGTTTAAGGCTCATGTATGAGAATTCCTGAGTACTAGTTTTTACATTCCATGTTGGCAGTATTTTTCTACTGTTCTTCAGCTACTTTTATAAATCAACAACACTGAACCAAGCTGAGTATTAAAAGAGACTCTTTTTACACAGTCAAGTGTTTTATTCACAGCCGACGTTTCTGTGACCTTCTGTCACCTTCTTCGGTGGCAATTCTGACTGGTTCACATTGCACTGCAGCACAGGTGTCGCTGCTATAGATGCATTCCCAAAAACGTACAATATTTACAGATCTACACATATACTGGACCAACCGAACCTCAAAGGCTCCACACCCAGCTCTTGAACGAAGAAGTCTCCGAACGCCTTGAACCACCTGGTTCTGTCGCCCTCGTTAGTCAACATTGTGTCCGACACCCGCAGGTCACAGTACACGAACTTGTCCGTCGTTCCACTCCGAAGTGACCGTTTGTTGACCTGGAGATCTACAGCCAGGAACTAGGAAGAAACAAGATAGCCACCAGTCTTTGAATTCGTCTTCGACACATGTACAAATCTTAGGAGGAAAGATATCGGCTTTTATTATTGAATTTTCTAACTGCGAAGTTTTCACCCGACCAGCTTTCCTGGCCATGCAAATGAACATAATGTCAGTCATCGGAAGGATACCTACAAATCTTTGCCTCGGCCTTGTGAATAAATCGCTTTAGCTGCCAGACTTATTCGTAATAGTGACTATGACATGTACCAGTGTACAGTATTAGTGTATAACCCTCTATGAAGAAGTGCAAAATAAAAAGGAACACTTATACATCATGGTATTATGAAAAAAAATACATAGAAAACTAGAATTCCGAGATCTCATACCTCCATGAAATATGATCTTGATATGTAAATGTAAATTTCTTCTTTAATTGTTCAAATGACCTCTGCATTAACATGATATATGCATCGTGATGTATGTTATCTTTTGATTAACTTACAGATGTCCCAAGTATGACATTCTCATCATTCACCATTACGAAATCATAGAATTTTCACATTAATTATGCAAATTAGGTCATCATTTGCATAATTAGTATCTGTTGAAGTTCCGCCTGCCCTAGGTTACATAGTATAATGTAAAACACTGTAATTATAGAATTTCCTCATTAATTATGCAAATAAAGTCCTCATTTGCATAATTTGCATTTAATTATGTACATCTCTCTCTCAGCTACCTACACACCAAAAATAATGAAAATATGTTGTTCCTGTCTGGACTTATTGGCTTTTAAACATTTCGCCAGAAAGTGCCCTGCAGTTCCAGAACAAGCCGCTAGGGGGCCCAAACTCATATGACTTCTTCCCAAGCACGAGAGCTACCTTCCATCAAAATTTCATGACCCTAGCATGTCCAGATCGCGAGATATCAAAACCGGAAGTTGCGCTGCAGTACCAAGGGAAGCCACTAGGGGGACCAAAATCTCATCATTTCCAGTTTTCGTCACACCCTACCAACACACCAAGTATGAAACCAATCCATCCAGGCGTTCTTGAGTTATCTTGTTGACCAACAGACAGACAGAAGGACGGACGGATAAACGCAACTGAAAATACTAGAATTCCGAGATTTCATACCTCCATGAAATATGATCTTGATATGTAAATGTAAATTTCTTCTTTAATTGTTCAATGACCTCTGCATTAACATGATATATGCATCGTGATGTATGTTATCTTTTGATTAACTTACAGATGTCCCAAGTATGACATTCTCATCATTCACCATTACGAAATCATAGAATTTTCACATTAATTATGCAAATTAGGTCATCATTTGCATAATTAGTATCTGTTGAAGTTCCGCCTGCCCTAGGTTACATAGTATAATGTAAAACACTGTAATTATAGAATTTCCTCATTAATTATTCAAATAAAGTCCTCATTTGCATAATTTGCATTTAATTATGTACATCTCTCTCTCAGCTACCTACACACCAAAAATAATGAAAATATGTTGTTCCTGTCTGGACTTATTGGCTTTTAAACATTTCGCCAGAAAGTGCCCTGCAGTTCCAGAACAAGCCGCTAGGGGGCCCAAACTCATATGACTTCTTCCCAAGCACGAGAGCTACCTTCCATCAAAATTTCATGACCCTAGCATGTCCAGATCGCGAGATATCAAAACCGGAAGTTGCGCTGCAGTACCAAGGGAAGCCACTAGGGGGACCAAAATCTCATCATTTCCAGTTTTTGTCACACCCTACCAACACACCAAGTATGAAACCAATCCATCCAGGCGTTCTTGAGTTATCTTGTTGACCAACAGACAGACAGAAGGACGGACGGATAAACGCAACTGAAAATACTAGAATTCCGAGATTTCATACCTCCATGAAATATGATCTTGATATGTAAATGTAAATTTCTTCTTTAATTGTTCAATGACCTCTGCATTAACATGATATATGCATCGTGATGTATGTTATCTTTTGATTAACTTACAGATGTCCCAAGTATGACATTCTCATCATTCACCATTACGAAATCATAGAATTTTCACATTAATTATGCAAATTAGGTCATCATTTGCATAATTAGTATCTGTTGAAGTTCCGCCTGCCCTAGGTTACATAGTATAATGTAAAACACTGTAATTATAGAATTTCCTCATTAATTATTCAAATAAAGTCCTCATTTGCATAATTTGCATTTAATTATGTACATCTCTCTCTCAGCTACCTACACACCAAAAATAATGAAAATATGTTGTTCCTGTCTGGACTTATTGGCTTTTAAACATTTCGCCAGAAAGTGCCCTGCAGTTCCAGAACAAGCCGCTAGGGGGCCCAAACTCATATGACTTCTTCCCAAGCACGAGAGCTACCTTCCATCAAAATTTCATGACCCTAGCATGTCCAGATCGCGAGATATCAAAACCGGAAGTTGCGCTGCAGTACCAAGGGAAGCCACTAGGGGGACCAAAATCTCATCATTTCCAGTTTTTGTCACACCCTACCAACACACCAAGTATGAAACCAATCCATCCAGGCGTTCTTGAGTTATCTTGTTGACCAACAGACAGACAGAAGGACGGACGGATAAACGCAACTGAAAATATAACCTCCATGACACATTTCATGGAGGTAATTACATTAGCATTTTCCCACAAAAGAGTCCACTGTTCACAACTTCTGAACGCCTGACAAAGCCCAACGGATACTCACTCCTTCGTGCTTCTTAAACTGCTCCGACATGAACTTAGACAACTTGCGGTCAAATTCCTCAGGAACATCGAAATTGGCCCGGACCAGTGCGTACGGCATGTTGGATGTTATGTTTATAGTAATGGCCAGAAACGTTGAACGGCTGCGTCTGTTCTTGCTGCTGTTCTGTTCCCTAGGCTGGAGGGTCAAAGGTGCAAAGGTCGGGAAGTGTGCGAAGGTTCAGGGTAGCAAAAAGTATACATTAAAGCCTAAGGTCAAATAGTGACGGGGAGAACGAGAGAAAAGAAATGTCTCTGTCTCAATCTTTTAACCAAACAAGAGTTCCACGATCTCATACCTTCGCCAAATGATGTTAACCCTTGCGGGTGACGAATTATACAATTTTAATCATTGATTTTGTAAATAAGAGCCTCATTTGCATGGATTATATCAGTTGATCATATTCTCCACCCAATGACGGCCTTATCATAACAAAAAGGCTATTATAGCACTTCCTCATAAATTATGCAAATGAGGTCATGATTTGAATAAATTATGTTTATTGATGTTCACTTTCACTTAACTTCCAAATGTGGCAAGTATGAAATTCGGGGTGCAGCAGTTACAACTATGGAATTATAAGAATTTGCCATTAATTATGCAAATTAGGTCCTCATTTACATAATCTATATCCTCAGATGTTTTTCTCGTTCTCAAGTAGATGTCACAAGTGTTTCATAGTTCTATTATTGAACAAAGCAGATTTATAGAATTTCCTCATTAATTATGCAAATTAAGTCCTGATTTGCATAATTACCATCTGATTATGTCAAGCATCACTTCAACTACCTACATACCAAAAATCACGACAATACGTCAACCGGTTCTTGAGTTATCGTCCTTCGAATTTTTTTTAACAAATGCTCCTGCAGTTCAAGAACAAGGCGCTAGGGGACCCAAACTCATGTCACTTCTTCTCTATCCCAAGAGCTATCTGCCATCCAAAATTCATGACCCTAGCATGTCCAGATCACGAGATATCAAAACCGGAAGTTCTGCTGCAGTACCTGGGAAAGCCGCCAGGGGGCCCAAAATCTAATCATTTCTAGGTCTCATGAAGACCTACCCACCTACCAAGTTTCATTCCAATCCATCCACTGCTTCTTGAGTTATCTTGCTAAACCACACACACACACACAAACACACACAGACAAACGCTACTGAAAACATAACCTTCTTGGCGAAGGTAATAAAGGTAGCTAGTTTCACCCTTTCTTCAGTTAGTCTACAGTAAGTTACTAATTTTAGGCAGTGATTGTGTCCCATTGGTGCTACTCCGTGGCACTGTGTAAGTGGCAGTGGAGACCCCTAGCTGCCAGTGTAATCATTGCAGTTATAAAGCGGGTGAGCACGACATTCATCTTCGGCCTCCTCCTGTCTGAGTAAACGTTGGTACGTACTAGTATCTAGTCTTCTTGTAGGATCTGTAATGGGCTTGCAGACCACTAGCTCCATCAGCGACAAACCCTGCTGCAGCCCTCACCAACGAAAGTTGTAAGTCTTGTAACTGTGTGGCTTGGTGTTTGGGCTGCAGTACTGATAGTGATTAAGAGAGTTCGCTTTTAATCAATACTGTGACGATCAAGCAGCCGTTGTATTCTGAAGACATACAGACATTAAGCTAACTAACCCGTGCTAAATATGGTATCGAATACGAAAAAATATGCAAATATAAACATGATTTTCGTAATTCATAATTAAATAAAAAGCGCCTCCGATGTGTTTTAGCACCTTTCTTGTTTTTATTTGAGTTGATGTTATTATAGTACTTATCAATGGTAAAATGAAACTATGAAACATTTTGACCTGATAAATACCTTTCTGTTTGCAATGTTCCCGGAGAAATTATTAACACTTCAAGTTCAACCGTGTAACCTGCATCTTGTTATAGTATTTTGTCTGGACAAGGAGGTTGTAGAGTGTATGGTTTGGCTATGACCTCTTTCCTCACAATGCTGGCAGGTTGATGCCATTGCATGAATAAACAAAGCTCCGAGAATAGAAACAAATAATACTTTAATTGGAGAACCATTGTTCAAAAGACTCTGATTGTCTGATCGTCCAGAACAGATGACGCCTCAAAAGCAGGTCTTGGTTGTTTTCTTGATTAGCTTAAACCGTTGTATGTTTAACATTTAACACTTTTAATCAAATTCACAGTAATCTATTTACGCTCTTAATCTCCAGAGTCTAGACTTTGAACGTGCGAATGATGCAAAAATACTTTGCATCTTACACCCCCACACTTTCTACACCATTGGTTTCGTCCACGCCGCGTCATAAGTCAACGTCCTGTTCCGTTGAGGGAGGGTTTTTGTTGTTCAACTTGTGGAAAATCTGTTCCCGTTTGTGCAGATCCTAGCGTGCTACAACGCACAACGGGAAACTCCCAAGTCTTCGTTGTTCCTTCCACCCGTTCTGGACGCTTTCTGAGGAAAATACTCGAGTTCTACGAGCGAACAGACGACAAGGAAGCGTTGGTGTCAGACGACTACTGCTGACGTCTGTGAGTTCGAGTGTGGGGTGGGCGATCATCAGCAAGAAAGACGTGCTGAAAAACGTTACATCACCTCAGTTGGTTATCAAAACAGGACAACAGAGCGATCGTACATTGATAGTTATGCGTGTGATGGCAAGCTTTGCCTGCAGTGACAGCGATATAGGTGAGTGTAACGTGTGTTTTACAGTGTTCTGTTGTCCAGTTTTCAATCGATGGCCGCCATGTGTGATGGTGGTGGCGTCAGCTGGTCATCATAAAAATAATTCAGAAATTCAGATCTGTGTCCAAATATGTGTAGTGCCGTGGCTATAGACCTTATGTTTCTCTTTTACGAGAAGAGAGAGCTATGTGCGTGTGAAATGAAAGACTAAATGGTATCCTTACTGTATGTAAGGTATGCATTATGATTTGGGGGAGGGGGGCGTAAAAAAGGGTCATACTCGACTCATACTCATAGACATAGACATAGAGCTACAAGTAGTACACGCATGGAGGTTCAATCATGGTACAAAGTACATGTATCAGAGGTTCATAGGACATACTAGAAAGCCATAAAGAGTGCTTTTATGTGCAGGAACAAAGCAGGTAGTACTGCAACATGTAGACAATATTTTATTTGCAGACAAGCACTGTACAGTCTGTGTCAGTGTGTTTTCTTTGAACCCGCCTCATAAGATTAATGTTCAGTGATCATGTGCATACATGAGCCGAGTATATGTAATTGTAAGGACAAGTTGCATAAGACCAGACTGGGGTGAACGACTACTCTTATCAATAACCTTTAGCGCTCTGAAATACTATCAAATAGCCATTTCGCTACCAGTTCGTAATCAAGTAGTTTTCAGTATGATACAGATAAGGCCATGTAAACAAGGTAATTTTATGGATGATTTCCCCTGCAGACCCAAAGTACTACCTGTAGATATTAAATATAGACATGTAGGATTAAAGTGTAAATCGACCTGCTTTGACATACGTCAAAAACATATGTATGCCAAATTCATTTGATGCAATTGCTTGCATGGGGTTCTGCGCTTCAAAATTTCTCGATTTTATTTATGATATTTTTAATCTGCATAGCACACACGGCCACATTCATTGTATGTAGATAAGTTAATGACTTAATTTGTTCTGGTGTTGTCTGTGTTGGAACTCCCAGTCCATTCTCTTATCTCCTTAACCTAAATTCTCTGCATGCCTTTCCTACTTCATAGATGGTTTTAATTGGAAAGCCTTCAGGTCATCAGACTTTTACTGGACATAGCATGTAGTACTAGACAGGTTGATTTCTTCAAAAGGAAACAAAGGCCCTAGGCTAAATTATTTGTAGTTTAGCATGCTCGAAATCATATTATGCAAATTATGGATGATGTGGTATCATTATCTGACAGAGACCACAGAAATATAATAAGCATATCAGCATCTAGCATATCAGCATCTATAAGCAGCCTTTCAAGTTTGGGGAAGTTCAAACCTAAACCAGTTCCAACTGGCAAACTTACTGGATGCACGCATTATGATGGAAATCGTGGGTAAACACATAATTTGATAGGGAGCATTTTATATGGCAGACGTCAGAGGTCAGTGACATTATCAATTCTTCGAATACCGTTGAGACCCATGTACGCACGTCTATCATGTTGTTATGTCTATGGTGAATATACTAGTATTGAAGTAAACTTGATTGCACAATGTACATTTGTAGGTGAACATGTATATCATCTACAGTTAAACTGTAAATGTAAGGTTATTCATGTGGACACAATGTTGCAGTTGGAGGGAAAATGACATGAGTGACTGAGCATAAACAAACATCACTGGCTCAGAAATAAATGCTTAGCCTTAATTACCATACTATTTTATGTTCTTCATACTATGCCTGAAGGGTGCACAGGAGGTTACATGAGAAGTTGTGGTTAAACGCTTCCTTGACATGTTGTTTATGGTGATAACCTCAAGTGTTCACCTACATCAGGTTGCCTAAGGCCCTACATGCATGGGAAACTTTAAATTCAAGTATGCTTTGCAAAGGCAGGTAGCTTGAACTTTGTACATTGGGTCGGCACTGATCATGATAGAAAACATGAAATAGATCTAGAAGAAATTTGGAAACTAGGAAGGTCTACTTGATCAGTATCAGCAGAGATTGTATTGTGTGGTAACACAGTTAGTTGACTGAGTCAGTTAGCCAAGGTTAAAACTTGATTTTTTACCTCCTTACTATTGCATATGTAGTATGGGAAAACAATTACTTCAACCTTCAAGTCAAGTTTGCAGCATTGCCCTATATATAGGTCTATGCAAGTCTCTGTCAATATCCACTCAGAACCAGTTCAAACTGGCTAGACGTCCTTCCTGCATATTAGATGAGGGGGAACTGGGGTGACCTATTTACATATGTATGCCAGCAAGCATGTCACATGGACTCCCACATGACACTGCGTCAGTGACGTTATATAATCGCTTGAATACCAGTATAGCTTACTATAATTTAAATGTTAGAATCCTCAGTTGTGAGTAAAAGATCTTTTAACTTGGTGTGTATCGTTTCACCCATGCCCGTGCTTTGATCCAGTAAAATAGAAGGTCAACAACCTTGTTTTTCTAACCTTTGCCCCCAAGAGGCTTGGTGGGGGTGTAGCGTTGGTGCTGTCTTCTGATTGGTTGTGACAGTTAATCTGTGTTTTGTCATTGGAGCCTGGCATTGGGGCCTAGAGGGTGTGTAGATTCTGGGAAGGCAGTACATGTAGCAACTTGGCAGGGCTGTTTACGTGTATACGGTTACACATTAACCCAGAACTACTGCAGTGGTAAGTGTTGGACGTTGTTTGTCGTACTTCTAGGTGAATGATTCACATTTGTTGTCTTGTATGAGCTTTCCCATTTGAAACTAAAACTGTTGACTGGTTCTCAATGTTTTGTTGACCATATGTTTGTTTCTGGGCCCTCTAGCTAGAGGCATGCACGTCACCAACATTTCTGGTGACCCTCAGATTAAGTCGTCAAACCAGTCTCTTTTTCTTTGTCCAAGTGTTTTCACATGAAATTCTAAAGAACAACTGTATTCTGCTTGATTTTTGTGATTTACAATCTAGAAAAGTAGAAATCTTTTTACTTTTTGTGTATCCGGTTGATTCTGGTAGCCCTTGGAAGTTAGAGCTTTTGTTTTGCAGTAAAGGGTGGGTCTACCGCCCATGCGAGTCAGTGGCCCACGTACGATTCAACTGCATTGCAGTGCAAATTATTGATCTGGGCAGCCTTTGTAACACTGTTGCATAAAAAGAAACTGTAAATCAAGACCTTTTGGCCGTTTGTTGACCCAAGTGACATTTACAACCTTAAACATGGTGAACTAGAGTAGTTAAGTTCACCTGTGCCCATGTTTTCATGTCTTTAAATCATGGCCCAGTGTAACATAAACCTGTTGTCATGTTATGTAGTTTGAAAATTTTTCCCTTGTAAACAAAAAAACTTGACTACATGTTTTGTTTGGTAAAAGTGAAAAACAGCACAAAGTTATGTTTGAACAGATACTAAATGAACATGCGCTTCTGGTGTTTACTTAGTTTATTCCGGCAGAAAAAAAATACATGTATAATAGATTATTGGATAAAAAGAAAGCAAAGGTGAAAACAACCTTGATCTATACCCTGATCTTGACCAAAGGTCTGTTGTAAAAATTGGGCTATGAACACAAAGCAGAAATGTGAAATCAAACAACAGTACTAGATGAGACATGCCAGTCTGCACGTAGGAGTCATGATGCAATAATTCAGCACATGGCAAGCCATGGAATGCACGTAATACTAATACACGTCATGTACAATGTATACATGCTTGAGACCAGGTAGAATGATCTAAATTAGAAACAGTTTCTTGTCTTTGAATTCTGATTCCTTAAAATTCATCTGAACCAGGAAAAACACAAAAACTTTTAGTTTTACTGTCGGTGAAACTTGTTATAATGTTAGCATGTGCTAAAATGAAGCGCATCAAATCAGTTTTCCACCACAAATTACAAGAATTTCACGCCCACCAAATTGAACCCATTTACCAAGCAACAGTGTTACCTAATTCAGAAAGGTTTTTGTTCTCGAGGTTTTACAGGTTTTACATATTACACGTTTGAGTTTGAGAACTAACTGGGATCTTTTGCCTTCCACCCAAGGAATCCAGAGAAGAGTGTTCGAATTTCTTACTGAGTATGGAGTTGTACTATGAGTACATCAGAAACTGTGTTGGAAATAGTACGGATGTGGAAATGCCTTGTAGCTGCGAGGAGTGCTATAGAAACTCCCGGAACATTTGCTCCTGCATGGACTGTTTGACGAAGTCCAGAAAGAACTTGTGTCGGCAGTCACCTTGTGAAAATCATGATTTCATTGGGAACATTGAGTATTTCCCTCCACATGAGGACTATTACAACAGAGGTGAGATATATAAACACACACACACTTGCCTGGTATGATAGCTACATGTATACCGCTAGTTAGGTCTTACTTGAGTCTTAGTCTTATCTTTCTGAAGTGTATCAACTTCTTACTACAGTCAAAACTGCACAAGAAAACCACTCAGGGATCCGCTAAGAGGATAATTAAGCCAGTGTCAATGGGGAAAATTATCTACTACTATGTAAGAAACCACCAAAAGTGGCAACATTGGCCAGGTAGACCCTACATACCAGATTGTACAATGTAGAAGTGGTAACAGGTTTGACTGTATTGTGCATTTTTATAGAGTGTACATCGTGTACATGTGTGAAATCTTCGGACACGAAGCCAAGCCAAGAAAAAGAAGAAACATTGTGTACTAGTTAGCTAGTACTAGTACATGTGTGGTAATAACAGTACTTAAATGTATAAGGGTCTCATGGGGTTAGACTTGGTAGCTGTTAGACCATGGAAACTTTGCCAAGGAAGCATAGTTTCCCCCATCTTTGCCCCCACTTGTCATGTTGCTACAGGATTTACAGGCTTATTAGCATACCTTTAGAAAGAAGCTGCCAGTAGACTGTCCCTGTCTCTGGAATGTTAAGATATCCAATAGAGAGCTCTTTGATCCAGGGTGATAAAAATTCAGCCATGCCAAATGAGAACAATACAATAACAGATACAGGGGAAAACTGCTCTGACAGGTAACTTGAAAAATAACTTAATAGTTAGTGAGTATATAAAATGAAGATAACCTTTGAGATGCTAGGCTCAAGCCTGGGTGAGCAAAAACATAATTGTCTGTGTTACAAAAAATACAGTTGGGTATACATGTAGTACGTCATTTACTTATTATACGTGTACATGCCTGATTTTACAGCCACAAGTTTTAACCAATACAGACACTGATCTTGAATAAGATTTCGCTGTCTATTTTGTGCATGACTAACTACATGTACACTTCATGTATGTAATGTTGAGTATGCGTTCATCTACTCTATGAGTATGACAGAGCCTTCAACTACAAATAGTGTTAGACATTTCCATTGAAATGGATTGGCCAAAACTAACAGATCTAGTAATAGCTGGTAATGATTGTAATGTGCAAAAACTATGTAGGTACTGTATGACGTGGTGGTCTGCATTAGAAGTTGGCCCTAGGTCACAGATGGCCTTTTGCATGTGTAATGATGACGTACATGTACTACATTTAGTACTACTATAGTGGTAGTAGGTTAGAAGCAAATTCAGGTCTGACTCTGAGACTTCAAGGTTGTCCAACTTGCAACATACTTAGTAACTACACAGTACTCTTTGCAACTGGTAGTGTGCCAGGGAATCACATCAGGAACACATAATGATACAATAGTCGTATGATGGTTGGATTGGAAAAAAGTACAGTATATTCACTGTGTATGCTTACATGTACATTTGTCACTAATAGTGTGTATAGTTTCCCAGTAAGTTGGAGTTAGATATTTGATTTAAATTAACACATGTCTGATACTATGTTAGATATTAAATCAGATTTTTTAGGTATGTACATATAGTGTTACAGGGCTCGAAATACTTTTTTCAGCCAGGTGGCGCATGTTGCCACCTGAGTCAAAAGCCAGGTGGCGCCATCAGTATTCAAGTGGCAACACTTCCAAGTTATCATTTTCTTCAAATCTGCTACTTATATCTATTACGTTTTCTTCTAGTTAACTACTTAAGTTTTATGTTATAAAATAAAGTAATGTAAAGAACATAAAAGCTCTCAAACAACAATGTTTTAATAAAGAATGCCACCTTTACATCACTTCATCACAGGGCTGCCGCCGTGGGAATGCCACGCCTCTACATGGCGGCACACTTATGCGGGTGGTGTTACGTGCGCCATGTTCTTCGTTTGCGCAAGGATAATGTTACTCTCATCTGCCAAATAAACATACCCCCCGGAATAAACATACCCCCCGGACAAATCTTCAAAATCTAATAAAAAATGGTATTAGCTCCCTTGATTTAAAAAAATTAAGGGCATAGGTTCCCCGGATGACCCCTAACCGGGGGCCGAACGGTGCTTCCACAAGTTCAACAAGTGAAAAATACATGATACAAATTGTACATGTACTTATTACCTGGAACTTGGAGCAAGTATTCCTAAGGTGTTACGGACATAATTAATATATACCAAACTTTTTAACCCAATCATATTTCCCAAACAAAATCACATATTGACACAGCTGAACAAATAAAAATGTGATTATGTCTATAAACTCATACTAAAAAAAATTTAGAGACACTCAATAAAGAAAGTAAGAAAGAAAGAAAGCATGCTCTTAATATCTGATTCTCCCAATTGTAAAAGCCCCCACAGCATCCAACCGCACATTCATAGAAACAACATTATATTCTGACACTAGAAACCAATAAATTCGGAAAATTTCACGGTAATGTTTACAAATCAACCTTTTAAAAATACGAGTGAATTTTTATTCTGTCGTTGCCGAAAAAAAAATTTTCATGCGTGTAATACTAGTACATGTATCTTGGACGCTTGGATGCTATCTTCACCTTTGACCACATTGTTGGAAGCAGCGTCGGCCATTTTCATTCTGTCTTTCGAGCTGTTTTTTCCGACAAATTTCAACCGTTTTAACATTTTACGGCCTCAGAAACTCATATAACGACGAAAACAAGTTGTAGTTGTTATTTTCATGCGTAAAATTTCTTCTGGGGATGGATTATTTTTCCGCCGAGCCGCCGAAAACTTAGCGTCGCATGCGGTCGGTCGGGCGGCCGGCAGGATTTTGTATCGGCGCGCTTTGCATGTAAACAAGGACAGTCGGAGTTGTTTACATGAAAATTGTGTTGTGAAACGCCAGCGAGGTGTCTGATTTTCTACCAATGAGAACGTTTTCTTTGTGGCGTCATGGCGAGATCGACAATTCATCGACAATTCACAAGATTGTGCCGACAATGGGGCCCGATCCATGCGATTAGCGGCTCGATCCACGCAAATTATAGGTGGCGCGCTGCGCCACCTGAGTTTAGGAATAAGTGGCGCCAAGCAAAATCAGGTGGCGCCGCGCCAGTGCGCCACCGGGTATTTCGAGCCCTGTGTTACTACCAGTAGATCTGTAATGTCTAGGTTCACTTTCTACTCGATTCTCAACACAGCTGTAAATGTAAGAACAGATAGAGATTTTAGTCATAATGCATGGTTTATTTAACTTTATCTACTTGTACTTGCAGAATAAAAAATACAAATTTTTCATAGCTAATAGTATTAGTACTATTAGGATATCAAAACACAACAGTCTTGTGTCTTTCCTCCCACAGCGGATGCAGAAATTCTCTACCAGTTAAAACCAGGCGGAAACCCAAACGACCAGAAGGCCGGCGCGGAGACATGGTGCGCCGCGTTCGCCCCCGATAACTCGTACTTCGCCTGGTCGTGTGGTCACAGGCTGGTGAGACTGGTCCCGTGGAAACACAAGATAAACAACAACGAGATGTAAGTAATCAGTAATGTACAAACATGTAATGTTTCTAAAGTATCTAGGTTATCGGTAACTTTGCTTTCTGACCAAAAGTCCATAGTTCGCTAACTAACTTGTGTGCCATCATATTTATCGAGTATGGGAATACTCAAAAGGGAGGGAGTACTATAGTATGAAAGCTTGGTTAAAAAAAACTACTGACAATTCAGGGCTTGAAAATCGTACATTTCAGGGCTCAAAATCCTGGGTTTATGTGCAACTTGGTGCACACAAAATTAGAGCTGTGCACCCACTTACTTTCAGTTAGCACCTACAGGGTAGCCTTCAACCTTGACTTTATACATATCAATCAATCATCTTTCAAAATCACCAACATGCAGCAAAAACAATTAGGACATGTAGAGATACAAACCCACAACACAGTTACCAGAAACAACTCTTATTTACCCAGAAGTAATATTTAGCATACATGTATGTTTTTATCTGGCACAATACCAAACATACTCTTAAGCCGTTTGGAACTTAACTTTGTTTGTTTGTTTCTTTCCACGTGTAGTGAAGATGAAGAGGGAAGACAAGGAGAGCCCATGTTACCCACTCCTAAGGAGAAGGTGATAGACTGTGGGGAGTATGTGTGGGCCGTAGCCTTCGGGTCCTCAGTCTCTTCCAAATGTCACCGCACAGTCAACATCAGCTTCCATCGCTTCAACTTTGGCAAGGACCTCATCCTGGCGACGGGGCTACAGAGCGGACGGATCAAGACATGGGACGTTTCCAGCGGTAAGAAAACTCTGTACATGTATCTGATTTCCTTCCTCAACCTAACCCCTGCTATACATTACATGTAGGTTTGTCTGTGTCTGCTACTTCAGGATGTGGCAATACAGTTAATATTTTGAGTGGCTGAGCTGTGGGGTTATATTATGTATAGCTGTTTGTCCAGACAGTAGGTTGACAGTAGGTGGGTGGGGGAAGATTGACAGGCAGGATGATATGAGTTCAAACTAAGGTTTCAAATGTGGCTGGGTAGCCACTAGGAATTATTGGTTGACCTGGGTGAATTTAGGAAGCCAGGGATATATTGCATGTCATGAATTATGCATTAGCTGCCAACAGGAATACTATCTACTAACCAGGGCTCGTCTGGTAAATGTAGGGCGTTACACTCAAACGAGGGATACAAGTACATTGTGTACTGTAAATTGTATCAACATCAGTACAATAGAAAGCTGATGAACGCATGATCATTTGAATGTACAGGTTAGTTGTCTATCGGGTCCATCCACTCATAATTATGTGCCTGTTGAGAGTACCAAATTGTACATTATAATTTATATACATAAGAATTCTGTCAATCATACCCGGTAGTGTCAATTCAGTTTATTTCAGGTCTCTTCAACTTTTAAAGAGCACAGCAGAGAAAAGGCCTGACACAGTTGAAATACACAATGGAAGAAGCACAGAATGATGCCCATCCAATCAGACACAGAAACACCCTTAACAGTACCCCTGGCCTGGTTTAACTGCTTTTAAAAGGCTCAAGGCTACTACCGGTATTTGCTTGTCCTACCCCCTACACTACAGGACAGTTGAGACAAACTAAAATGGTTGAATATGCAGATTCCCTGCAGACTGTAGTATTGATTGAAATTAAGAGTGTTCTGTCTTTAAACACTCACTTAGTCCCCTTTCTTATGTTGTCAGTCGAAGTAGCTAAGGGAATTATAAAGGGCATTACTCATCCCTAATTTGCATAGCTGTCCCTCAATCTGGAACAAGTGTAGGTCAAACACCCCAAAATAGGTCACAGGTACTGGTGTTAGGTTACATCTGTGCCACTTGAACAAGACTTGCCATATACTGAAGATGTAGATGTTTAGAAAATGTACTTAGTTACTGTAAATTGTGAAACTTTCACGGTGGTTGTATTTTCTCGGTGACCTCAAATTCATGGGGCCACAACTATGTCTTTTGTGACTGTCTATGTCTTGTATGACTATACTCTACAGAAATGTTTCAACTGTGGATTTTTAAGGCCCTTCCTTCCTACTCAGGCTACTGCAAAATAATAAAACAGCTGCAAATGTTTCCAAATTTACAGTATACAATGTAACAGCAGAGGATGACACCTACATAATATAATCTCATCCAGATGGTATTCTGTAGTGGATGAAGGACATCTACACTTCTTCTGATTGACCAGAATTTCTGAGTACCTGCTAGTACATTTTCTTGTAAAAAATTGTTGGGTTGTTTGTTGTCTTTGGCAAGGCAAAAGGCTAAACCTAAAGTCCTCCACCACTGGTAGAATATAAATCATATGACAAATGCTTGGTATCTATTTTAATCTCGTCCTTGATGTCATTTTATGGCGGTGACGTACATGTTGGCCTGTTGTTTACCTATCAATTTACACTGTTGCACACGTTTATGCAATATGATTTCCTTTCAAACTTTCAAGTCATGTTTTTAGTGCAATGAAATTTCCAGGGCTAGAGCCTCTGAATTGATACTATATTACAATGTGTATATCTGTTTCTCTGGTATTAATGCCAAGTTTGTGACTTTTAAGGCAAGTGTTGAGCTTGACAAATGTATATATTACAAGTACAAGTGTCCTCAAGATAGGTCAACTTTGCAGCATACATACAGGACATTTTGTACATGTTTGTAGGCAAGCTATGTGTGTAATTTAGGTCGTTATGCAGACAGTACACATCAAAACAGCAATTATCTTCCAAGGGCAGACATAGTAATATTTCAGGTTTAACCAGAGATCATCAGTGATGTGTGCATGTAACACTGCAATCAATCATGCAGAACTTCCACATTGTTGACTGTTAATCAGTGTTATCATGAAGAATGGTACTGTTGAAGAGTCAGTAACAATATTACCAGTAGCTCCAGGGCCAGAATTCTCACCATGTATGCTTTGGTAGTTGAGCCCTGGTAAACTATGTTTATACACATCCCCTTTCCACTGCAACCATTGAGTGACCAAAGATTTGACAAAGGACTCAACAAACTCAACTGTCTAGAATACAATGGCAACGCTAACGATATTAACAGCTAACAGTCAGCAAAAACAAACCATTCCTCCATTTTGCAACTGTCGCTATCACCAGTTGCCAGTAATTTCAAATTTAAAGGAAAAAAAAACAACACATTGCAGATTAGATAAACAGATAAAGAACAAAGGTTTGACAGATCGCTTAAGGAATTGGATAGTTAAAAATTAGATATTTACGTATTGTGTGTTTTGATGTCTTTTAAATCGTACTACATTTGTACATATTACTACATTCCAATTAAAAGCAAGGGTCACACAAATCCAATGTTGGTCTCTCAGCAGTTAATGTCCAGTGGAAAGGGGCCTAGTGTAAGACTGGTATTGACCTGAGATTTCCAGTTCCTGATGCCTGTTCTTGCCCCCCTCCTATGTTGCAGGTGGCATCCTGTTATACCTTATAGATCACAAAGAGGTGATCAGAGACCTGCAGTTTGCTCCAGATGGCAGCATGTTCCTGGCATCCGCATCACGAGACAAAACCCTCAAGGTACCGGCAGACTTCGCACCCAGGGTGTTCCTTACCTCGGCACGTGGTTGTTCCATCTTCCAGGACCGGCCAGAATCTAAAAATTTACTCCTCTTTTTTCTTTTTTCGCAAGTTGCAGTTTCAAACAATTCAGTGCAGCTTTGCTGGAATGGTATAGGTTGGTATAGGTGGTTTTTGGCAGGTCACTGGACAACTTTTCTGATGTACATGTCTCAACTCTTCAACCCAAACCAAATGGCTCTTTGTGTTAAGACTGTGCAGTATGACAGAGGACAGCTTTCATGATAGCCCTATCTGTCAATAGCTAATAATCGTTTTATCATTTAAATCAATTCCTTGGCCCAACTCTTTCCCAAAATTGACAGATTTTTTAATGACGTCATAGGACAAGGCATTTGACCCACCATGCAAATATATCATAAGAATCCATTGAAAACTTTAAGTATATTTCTGAATTCTAATAAATTATTTTCCTGATAATGGGTTGTGGTTGAAGTACATGTACATCAATGGAGTTACATAACAGGTACAAAACAGATTGATAATGTGGAATTGAGGTAGCAACTACATTTACTGATTTAAAAAATTGCCAATGTGCAGACAAGGTCATGATTACTGACAGGAAATGCTGACTGGCGGTTGTTGTTACTATGGTGATTTGTGACAAAACAACATGGCTCAAAATACCACCTTTGATAATACTTACGTTACACTCATGCAATTTGGCAGGCTTAACCTTCAGGCTGCTAAGGTAGCCATTTGGACCAAATTTGTACTGGTTATGGAGTTAGGCAGCAGGGAGAAGGTAAAAGAATACAGGATTGAAAATGAGTATTTTGAGCCCTGCATTGTCAATAGTGAATATCCTGTTGATTGTATAGAGAGGAGCATCTTTTTGTGGGCAAACAAAGCACCTAATCTCAGGAGGATGCATGTGGACAGTTATTGATTTTGCAGCATATTACATGTTTGCATCAGGCTTGAAACATGAATACAATAACAACTGTTTTGTATGCTGTAACTTGTTAATGTCATTTCCCTTCATGTTTTCAGACAAGGAAGTTTTATCCAATGCACTATATATCGTTGTTGTTGTTGTTGTTGGTATGATGTCATAACAAAGGTGTGTTTTCAGGTGTGGGATCTGAACGATGATGGAAACATGAAGAAGACACTGAAGGGTCACAACGGCTGGGTGTACAGCTGCTCCTGGTCACCAGACGCCAAGATCCTCGCTTCCGTCGGGCAGAATAAAACAGTAGGTCCTCCCACCATGCTGTTCTTCACAAATATCAAGAAGTCGAAGATCTCATAGAGTTTTTTAATTTCTTGTTTTATTCATTATTGTGATTTTTTCACTGATTTTTTCATGCATTTTCCCTTTGACCCAAATAAGGCAACAGGCATGCATATATGGCAGAAAGCTGAAGACAGGGAATGAGATAACCTTTTTTGGGACCTTTGACCTAACTTCCTGTCCATGTCCCCAACATACCTACATACATAGTACATACATACATGATCATTTTGGTTTATCAGTATGGCCAGTATATTTTCTACATGTAGGTACAACTGTTGAACTTTGCAACTGTGTTTTTTAGGTGATCCTTTGGGACATGTCGGACTATTCCATGATGAGGAAACTGACAGGACATCAGAACGATGTGGTGGCCTGCGACTTTTCTCCTGATGGGGCTCTACTGGCGACGGGATCCTATGACACGAGAGTTATCTTGTGGGACCCTTACACCGGCCAGAAAATCAGAACATTTGGGTGAGTACACCATTATATACTGTGTGGTTCTCATGTGTTGTGTGTATATTCAGCTGCAGTGCAAGATTTTTCATAAAAGTCTACTTGAAGTTACAGTCAAACTAGCCCAATAAGACCATTTAGGGACCAATGAAATGTGGACAGACAGTCACTATAGACAGAATTTTTACCGGTAATGTTTGTGTCTGTGGGAAAAATTATCTTAGAGACCACCCAAAAATGGTCACATTGGCCAGGTGAATCTTATGTAGAGGTGTTTATTGGTACACTTTTGACTGTACTACAATACATTAGTGGAATTTATAGAGATCTTAATTTGCACATTTAATATTTTGTAGTATAATAGTTTTTTGTTTTTTTGCAGTTAAAGTGTATGACCAATATGTTCACATCATTCTCTGTATTTCCATGTTACTGTAATTTCATTACCAGTTAAATGTGTCATTGATCATACATTCATGCAAACACATGTAAATATTTGATGATAATGTCAACAGGCATATGTACCCTCCTCCCTCATTTCTCATGATGGGCGGAGCCAATGACTACTGGTTGCGAGCACTGAGCTTTTCCCATGACGGGTGCCATGTGGGCACTCTGTGTGACGACAAGTAAGCCGACCTTCCTGTGACCTTCATGATTGTGCATGTGTGTTGTAAAGTCTGCAGCTCCTTTCTGGTCCTCCTGAACTTCCTGGAAATATTTTTTGGTTTCCGTGAAGGGGATTGTATGATGTTATTTAATCAGGTATTACACCACTTTCTGAATTCCTCCACATACTACCCAAGTACTCGCACTTGGCACATGCTGCATCATCTTCAGGCTTGACCTCCCTATCAATCAACTGTCCAAATCACCTCCCACCCTCTATGCAAACGTCACTATGTACTTGGACAAACAGACATACAAATCTAAAACTCAGCCACCCAAAACAATACTTTCGTATGTTAGCCCTACTCTTACCGGTAGTAGACAAAAGTCGTAACCGAAAAAAGGCGTGGAATATGAAACGCCCCCAGAGGACCACAGAAGGAACTGCAGACTTGTAGCATAAGGATTGTTGCAGGTGTCTGAGAAAGTCACGGTTGGTGTTTTTCCAGGCACCTCTTCCCTCCCCCTTCATGCATTTTCTCTGGTGGCTCTAACGACTTCTGGGTGCGGCACCTCTCCTTCTCGCATGACGGCTGCCATATTGCCACTCTGTGCGACGACAAGTAAGAGTACACAGAGCTGCACTCTTGTGCTTCACTTTGGTCGCTGTGTTCAAATTTTCTCTCACAAACACGTTCTGCTTTTAGTTCTTTGATGAAATATCAGCGTTTCCTCTGCCAGTGGCATCATTTGTTTTTGGCCCACTCTCTAAAAAAATACTAGCCTGGGTACCATCCTGGTTAGTTTATGTCCGCTCACACAGTCACTATAAACTGTGGGAGCGGATGTAAACTAACCAGGATGGTACCCAGGCTTAAAAAAACACAGGCAACCAAATATGACTTTATACTAAATTATAGTCTCTTGTCTTGCCAGAAAAGGGACTAAGAAGACATTTAGCAAAGAGATCATCATCTAGTCCAAATTATATTCAAGGAACATATTCTATAGAACGTAATTTTTGGGTTACCTTCCAAGTGATATCACTGCCATAAAAGAAAAAGATACAGGGAAAACACTGAATTTTGTTGTCTAAATTATACATATATTGTTGAAATGCTTAGAGCATGGCCACTTTTGTCTTTTCTTTACTCAAAAAGCTAGCCAGCTTCCTTCAGTTGAGCTCTCATATTGAAGTTGCACTTGAATGACTACATGTATGGTTTGGTTGTAGAATTTCATTGCATCATTCAAAGTTGTTCTTTGTTATGCTATTGTTTTTGCCATTGTTAATTTTGCTTACAAGATTACATAACTTTTTTTTGGTGACTGAAAATCCTTTTCTTTTTGGGTACTTAAACTTAGCAGTTGACAATAAATGAATTTTAGAAAAACATAAGGATTCATACATGTATGTTAACTAAAAAAACTGTTTACATGCACATACCCCTGTTATCTATGTATCAAGGACCATGTCCTACTTGAATGTATAAAAAGGAGAGAAAATAGGTCAAATGTTCTGCTATCGTATATTTAGGACATAGGGATTCCTAAGGATCACAAGCTAAGTTTGTTTGTTATTTCCTTTGTAACTTCAGGTATGTGAGATTCTGGTCTATCTACAATGAGGAGGTCCCTGTGAAGAAGGCCCAGTTAGTGAATGCCTTATGTTGTAACTACTCGCCTGATGGCTGCTGCTTGGCTACAGGGTAAGGATCTCTAAATGCACTGTAATGCATTTACTTTCACGGTGGTTTTATTTTGCAGTGGGAGAGAAAACTAGTATTTGCAGTGTTTAATACCCACAGTTCTATTGTGTAGCACATTGGAAATTCACATTTGCGGTGTCATGAATTCATGGGAAAAAAAGCCACTGCAAAAACTGCAAACATGAAACTACAGCAAAAGATTTACAGTACTTCTTTTGGTTTCAGAATTTTGTGGAAAAAGAGGATTCTAAAAGAACATAACTTCTTACATTGCAAATATGTTTGTTTTTGCTCACAAATTGGAGGTGTTGACAGAAAATTTATGTTTACTCATTATATACAATCCAATGACTTAAATCTGGGTGATTGTAGCTTAAATACTCAATACTTACATAAACATTTATGTCAAAAGTTTATGTCCTCCACTGGTTAACCGGTAGAGAATCTACAGTAGTATGACCAAATTCTGCTTTTTGTGCCTTTTACCATGATTAACCAATCCCTAATCTTCTATCCCTTTCCCCAGTACCCGTGACGGCAATGTTGTGTTCTACATGGCTCCCATGAGAGTACAGAAGCTGCAGCACCTGTGTCGCCTGTCTGTACGGCGGGTCCTGCCCTCCACCAGGGTCGATGCCTTGCCTATTCCACAGAAGCTCATGGGCTACCTCAAGTACGAGAACTAGACCCCAACAACTCTGGCTAACAACAAACACCACCTCTTCAGTAGACCCATACTTTCATATACATGTATATCTGTGGATTATTTCATCGGGTTGGTAAGACATTGTACAAGAAGCTTCTTTACTCAACCACCAGTAGGTTTTTACATCTGATGTTTCGGTGACTGTCTGTCACCTTCTTCAGAGCAACAATGTTACAGTATTAGGAGTGCCCTGAACAACAGACCGTCACCGAAATGTCAGATGCAAAAACCTACTGGTTGTTGTACAAAGAAACTTGTATACACTGTCGTATATACTTTGGGGACATCATCAAGGTCTGTCAGTTCCATAAAAAATCATTTGACACATTAGTTTCAAGGTAAAAAAAACTAATTTCTAAATTTTGGTGCCATCTCTGTGATGTGCTATTGTCAACAGTATCTTCATTTCTTGTCCTTTCGTGCTAAGAATGAAGTTGTCATTCCAATCAGATTGGGAAAAAAATTCAGCTGAACTCAAACTTTCGGTTATTTTATTTCAACTTAGAAAAGATGGACTCTGACTATATACAGTCATTACATTTGGCAATTTAACCTTCTCCTTGCTAAGTAATGTTGTGACTAATACAAATTTGGCATGGATGTGCCCTTTGCAGGAAGAAGGTTAAAACTATGCTCAAATACTCATTGAAATGGGCCTATATTATAGATTAAGGTGGAAGGCAAATGCTAACGTTTCGACAAGGTCTTGTACATAAAAAAATAGCTGTCACTAAGAGAAGTGCCAGATTGTACATTGCGTTGTTTTGTAATATATGATAATGGACTTGTGCAGGACATATTAATATTGATAACCTCAAAACTCTGGCTGTCTGGACAGGTACATGTACAAGGTGTTCTTAATTTCTTTTTGTTAAGTATTAAGATATACACTTTTTAATGGTGATACAATATCTGTTAAGGAACAGTTACTTGGTAGATGTTAAGAATATGTTACTAGTGCAAGGAACTTTGTACATAAGGTCTGTATGTTAATATAGGGTTAAAGCAAGTTTGGGAATTGGAGCTCAAATGGCCTTCCATGTGAGAAATGGGTTATCTTTAAAATTCATAACAAAAACGTATCTTCTGTTGCAAAACTGGTGAAGCAATCGTTAAAGCCATTGCTGCTGCCCTTGCCATGTAAAGGAGACTGCTTGCGTTTGTGGCCGGGGACATCTCAATATAAAAACATGGGGATGTCTCAAAAAAGCGTGGCCACTTGGCTTGTATGTAGCACCAATCAGCCATTGTACGGAAATGTGATCCAAAGCAGTTATAAACAACACAACTTAAATTAAAAGATTCAGGTATCATGACCAGTATATCTATAAATTGCAGTCAGCAAACTACAAAAAATGACTGTACAATCAGGGTAGCTTTGAATATGAGTTTTTTTTAAATCTAAGTTGTTACTTAATGTCTAGTTATTGTATTTAAGTTTTTCCTAACTAATAGTAGGTATTTCATTTTCTCTCTGTTCGTTACTAATTTTTTATATTCTCACTAGATTTATGAATTATGTAGAATAGACATAGGGGAAACAGGAATGAAAAACAAAAGAAACGAAATCTGCATGGCATAACTTTGCAATGTGCACCTAAACTGCAATGTTTATGACGTTAACTACACCTGTCTCTTAGATAACTGTAGAAAAACATCCAGACATCAAGTAGTGAAAAGAAAGAATTGTTTCAGAAGAGCTTGTATCCTGTTGCCTTACACAAAACTTGTACGGTTCTTGTTTCTTCATATTACATCCAACATCCATTGCTGCCATGTAAATACGCAAGTTTACAATAAGGAAGAAGGCAGTGGGATATCTGTACTGGTCATGTGAAGTCATCAAGCAATTCTGAAGTCTGTTTTTCCCCACATAGACCTAAACAGAGCATAGCCTGAGTACCATCTTCTACCTTCCAGTTGAACTCCCATGTGCAGAAGTGGTTACAAAAGTAGGAAAATACAATATAACAACTAAATACAATCTACAAGTCCTAAAGATTCTGCATGAAGATGAATGACAGGAAATATTAACTATGGCCTTTTCCTTGTCAACACTGAAGCAGCAAAGAATTAGATTTAAAAAAAAAAACATGTAAATAGATATATCAACTGAAGTGTCTCTTGCTACCTGTGCTTGATACATGAATACATGTACTATGCAGCTAGGGGGATGGATGCATGGTTTTGTACAATCGTATGCATGTATTTCTATCAAATATACATGTAGAAACTAATGTTCCAGCCTTCTGCTGTGCCTAGGCCTATTTTATCACCTCCGTACTGGTATTTAGGCCATCTTATCCATAAAGCCCCTGTCCCACATTCAAGTCCTTCCTAATCTCCAAGAAAATGTTTCGGTGGCCACAAAAGACAAGGCAAATAGATACAGTCTGGCTAATGGATACTGCCTGGCCAATTTGACACTGTCTTTTGCGGCCACCGAAACATCTGCTTGGAGATTAGACCTTCCTACGACTTTGCTCCTGGGTTTGGAGAATTAGAGCTCAGAGTTTGCTCCTTCGATCACATCCAAGAAGAAAACAACTTTCCTGACGTTTTGCTTAAGGCTTGCTATGACGGTGTGTCACAACATATTCAACTCTCAGGCAAATCACATTCCTTGAGAAATTGTACGCTTTTTTTTCTTCATATTCCTGAAATTCTACATGCACATTTGAATGTGGTAATCTTAAGTTACCAGGTGACACTACATTTACAAAATGAATCAAATCATACATACAATGTGCAACTGGAATGTTTACATATACTGACATATACTACGTATGTTGACATAAAGCAATACGCAATAGTATTAGGTGGTATCACATCGTTCATTGTTGGTCACTATTATTAATATTTTCTTGTGTAATGTACATGTATATATATTTTAGTACATTGTATGTACTTTCATGTTTCTTCATGTCAAGGAGGCTAAGGCTGTACATAGATGACACCATGACGTGAATTATTTTCTGGAAATTAATTTGCTCTATACTGAGGGGAGGTCAGAATGACATCTGTAGTAGTAGATTTTTGGGGGGACATTTTTATAGCTTGAATGTTGAAGCAAGCAATTTTCATAGAATGGAGAGATTCTACTAAGTCAGACAAAGTCAGTTTTATTATCTTTCCTTTAGGTCTTGTAATGTGACGAATTGTTGACACGTGTCTTCTCTGTTCTGTCTAGGAATCCTCTTGTACACATATACACTGTATTGTTTAGGAATCGTAACTTGAAGCCAGCTTTATGTTTGAAAAAAAATGCTATTTCAGTACTGGTTTTGTCAATGGTGGGCCAAGAAAGCATCCTTGTGGTAATGCAATGTTTAACCTTCCTCCTGTTCCCTTACCTTGTAGCCAAATGGCTACTTCAGTTGAAATTGCTTGTTATTCCACCAACCAGGCAACTTTCAGTGTCAGATTATATTGTTTACCAGCATTAGGTAATGCACATGCGTTTAGATAAATAAATGTATAGTTTAGGCTTATTATTGAACAGTCTCGAATAATTATGTACATAACAGATCATGGGGGGGGGGCACAATGTTACTGAGAAGACAACAATAGTCCTGTCTTACTACTGTCACTTTCATCCTTTCAGTTTTATCCTTTCACTTGTTGCTGGGAGCATCAGTGCCTATTGTCTGTTCAACCTATGTGAGTCAAAACACTTGTACCGAGGACATATTTCTCTTTGGTTATGTATCCACTTTGTTTATGGGTTATATACATGTATATTATGTTGTACGGCGTTGCTCTAGTATAGCTTGTCCAGAATCATTGGTGCTGCAAGTTATGCGACAATAAAGCCGAATAAAACAAACACTGTGTTGTGTTCTTTGTGTTTTTCTACCAGATTATTTAACTGCGTCTTCAAATACACCTGGGTAGTTTTTTTAATCGCTTCATCATTTAAATTCAGACAGCTTCAACCAAATCATCAATTTTAAAGTCAATATATAGACATATATGTAGAGGCTTACATCATAATAACAAGTTAAATATATATATATAGACATATATGTAGATGGCTTACATCATAATAACAAGTTATAACAATCAAGAAGAAACAACATACCACAAGGTGACACATTCCTTAGGCAATCATGCTGGCTGTACATGCACAGAAATATATAATGACGGATGTCAGGTATCCTAGCCTGGTATCTAGAATATCTGGGATTGGCGGGCTATCTTCGGGGCTGCAGGAGCTCTCCATTATCCATCAACCTTTGCTTTGTCCATTTTCCTTCCGGTAAGACGGCATGAGACACCTGACGGGTCCTCACATAGCGTTGCCCTGCCCGCGCGACCCTGCCCGAGTGGATAATTAGCAGGCATCCGGTAATCGGAAGAGCGTTTAGCGGCGACCGAAGAAGGGTGACCGAGCGCCCCCTAGCGATGTCCTTGGTGCTGAAATGGAGGTTTCTCACTACTAGTACTACAGCTACCCACGTGAGGTGGCCTGTCCGGGCTTGTCATGGCGTCCCCGCGCCGCTTCCAGTAGCGGGACAGTCGTAAGCTGCGACCGAAGTACGTACAGTGAGCGTGCGCCCCCTGGCGATGTCCTTGGTGCTGAAATGGAGGTTTCTTACATCTTGGGGCCTGTCGGAGCTTGGCAAGGCGTGTCCGCGTCGCTCTTAACATCGGGAGAACCGTCAGCGGCGATCGAAGTGAGGTGACCGCGCGCCCCCTGGCAATCTGTATCAGTATAGCCGCTTTCGTCCTTGGTGCTGAACTAGAGGTCTCTAACTACTACCATGCAAGGTCGAGGTCGTCTGGACGTGCGGAGAGCGTGTGCTAGGCCGCTTTGACGCAAGGGGAGGATAGGAGAGATGCCACGATGTTGTTTGACAATCTTGTAACCACTACTAAAGACATGGACCCACCATGATACAGGGTTGCTTTAAATAGACCTTACATTCACAATGTAAGCCATTTTAGCACATGCACGGGTCCGTTTTAGCACATGCACGTGTACATTTGTATACTTATTTTTAGTCTGACACGCAAATCACAAAACCCGTTATGAATACTTCATTACGCTATCATCACAACCATCATGTACATAACAACAGCATCCCGAAAGGTCTTTTTATAAACTGCAAAAGAGTTCAGTCACAGCAAAGGATACTAACATTTCCCTATAATTGATCTAAGCTGACACTAAGGGGGTAAATTTTACATTTTAAAACTAGCTAATTCACAACGAAGTGTAATTCACAGCCAATACAGATGTGAGTGGGTCTAACGTAGGGTCACAAGCTAGTTGGCGTTTGGGCCACAGTTCGCGAAGAGTCGTGCGACGTAACGACGAACCTCCGACAGACGAAACCCGTAGATAATGGGATTGATCGCCGAGTTTAAGATGACGAACACCACGGGGACGGCGCCGACGTCGTCGTCGGGCCAGGACAGTTTGACGAGCATCGGCAGCCACCCCACCAGGAACACGGCGGTGATGATGACCACTGTGACGGCGGATTTCCTGCTGGTACTGGACTCCGCGCCCACCGCGGCCTCCTGGTCAGGCCGAT